CAGTAGTGAGGCTTTTGTGTATATGATGTGAATGGTGGTCCCAGAATTACACAGTACACAGGTTGGGCGATGGCCTTGCCTACATACACTGGTATTGGATCATTAAACTGGAAAATAACTTTGCAACAGTTGATTTTTATATTGACAGAATCACCATTATGTTTCTTTCTTTTCCCCTCTCAGGAGGAAAGAAGTCACATTTTAAAGGATCCACCAAACTTTCTAATTTTTCCTAAGAGAATATATGGCTAATAAGATGCACACAGCAAACACATATATTGTAGCCCACAGAATGGATGGATCAAAAATTAAGGAGTCTGTCTTCATCCCCCACCCCCAGCTCTCTACACCAAGGGGTCCTTAGCACACTTTTCCACAAAACATCACTGGGGGCATGAGGAACAGGGAGGCTTGCCACCTGGTGCAGAGAATACCCAGGTATTTCCTGAGCCCCATCCTGGTGTTCAGAACTGATCTCTGTTTTACCCTCCAATTCCATCAGATCCCTAATCCTGACAGTATGGAATGGCATATAGCCATTAATAATAATGAAAGCTTACCCTTTCCTAATGCAGACATGACCACTAGATATTGATTTTTAAAAAGCGGATTGCTAAAGAGCATATCATTGACCAATGCTTGACCCCATGACTCTCAGAAATATAAACATACTCTAAACAACATTAAATACAAAATTTTCCTGTAACACTACCTTCTCATCTCCCATCCATCCTTTACCGCAAACATCCAGACACTTCTACCTTCTATCACTCTTTTGGTTTGTCTCCTGCACCTAAATTTTTACTGCAATTGTTTTAATTGACAAAACCCATGACATCTCTTCAGTGGTTACCCTACTGAGGGATTTATATCCTCAGTCACCTTGATACTCCTTCCTTAAGGAAAATCAAATCCTGTGGTTCTTCTTATCTTTCTGTCTACTCCTTTCTCATTTTCTACTTGGATCTTAAAGTGATGATATATACGGGGATGCCTCTCCTCAACCCTTTTCTCTCTTTGTTCCATATCATTTCCACTGGTCTGCAACTCGCTGCTTGATGTGAACCACCATTCATCTACACACTAGTGATCAGTAATCCCCAGCCCTATTTTTACCCCTTGCCTTGATTTTGCTCTAGAGGATCAGACTCTGGTTTCCAACTGCTTACCTCTTACAGACTTGGCTATGTAAGAGGATATCCCTTTCAACCTCTCTCAGGCAAGAGTATCATTAGGTAGCTAGTTACCAGTCTAGAAAACCTGTGGTCATTGTTAACTCCTATCATTCCCTAGCCTTTCATATCTAATTCATACCATGTGCCAATAATTCTATCCCAATTCCATACCATGTCTCCATTAATTGAGCTTCTATCTTGGATAAGATCATTTGGACTGTTGTAATAATTTCCTAAATTGTCTCTTTATAATAGCCTCTCACAACCCAAAGGCTTCCTAGACTGTATTTTAATAATAACTCCAGAAACAAACCAAATATTTACCTTGTCAATCTTGTTTGAAAACCTTCTCCATAGGCTCATTGCTGGTTATAGAATCCTGGCTTGGCTCACTGAGCCTGTGCAATATGGATCATAAGTTCTCCATCTTTATCTCTTACATGCTCCCCTGTGCATGTAAAACAGCCATCAAATTGAACAGCTTAACAGTCCCCAAACAAGATCTATTATGACTTGCCCCCATGCCTTTGTGTTTGACATTTCTTTGATTGCAATATTCTTCCATTGTATTTGCCTAATAAACTCCTATTCATCCATCAACTTGAGACGTCTTCTCTGATGCCTTGTGGCAAATTCAGAGCCTTGCTCTTTCACAGCCCCATAGTACTTGACCACTGTGATGCTTCTCACTTTATGAAGCCTCCTGGTTCTTTAACCAAATGATTGCAAGCTTGTTAAGGAGAGCAGCCATGTGCCTACTACAGCAAATTCTGTTGTTACTAAGTATTTAATTTTTTTGTGATGATGAAAAACTGTGATATTATAGACCACGCCCACCTTGTTGACCACACAGGGTTTTTTTCAGATATTTGCAAATGAAAGAATAGTAGGAGAGAAGGAAGGAAGAAAGAATTCATCCCAGTGCCCATGAATCAACCAGATTCAACTATGGAACCTCCTGAAGGAAAATAAGGAAATCATCTTACCCTAGCAGACTACTGAGATACTTTGAATGTGGTACAGACACAGATCTATGGGTTCAAGAGTTATCCTGCTAGGAGGAAAGATATCTAACCACATAGCTTAAAGGAAGCCCTTCTTGTTACTACTACTTCCCAACCCCTTCCTGCCTACAATTCTAGCATATCATTTTGAAGAGCATATACAGTTCTTCCCCTCCATAACCTTTGGTTTTAGAATCTAATGATAGAAATTTCTAGTTTCTATGACAATTTCAAGACTATCTAGGGCAACCACACTTGAATGTCTGACTTTCTTGAAAGCATCCTTACCAAGCCACCTATACTTCTCCTAAGGCTAAAGGCTTTGAGCATGTTGGAGATATAGACAGCCCTATTTGCAAGTTTTGTTATATGAAGGTGATTTTTTTTTCTATTCAATTTTCACCCCTTTCTCTTCTTTCTACACTCTGAAGCTACACAGAATGGATCTAATCCTTTTTTTTTGTTTTTTTTCTTTTGGCATGAGGCCTTCAGATAGATAGAGAGGATATTAATGTCCTTTTTATGCCACGTGTTTTCCACACGTAGCTTCACCAAGCCCTTTGCCACACCTCACGTGACACGATTTCTAGTTCACAAACCCATCTAGTTATTCCACTCCAAATGACATCCAGTTGTCTATGTTTCTCTTGAAGAGTGTTGTCTAAGGCGGGTGTGACCAAACCAAAGAGCAGAGAGCTCAGCAGCCTCATCTGGATCCTCTGCTCTCTCAATGGAGTCCAATGTTGAACTGGCACTGGGGACAGCCATCCTATATTATAACTCTACATTGCTCTCACTGAGCTTATGTTCCATTCAAATTCCTAAGTTTTGTGTTTTAAATTAGTTTCAAATTCTTGCAGCTCCTAAGTCCCTACAGAACACTGAACTCAAGATTTCCAGAGAGCATTTACAGGATGATAGAATGCTGTTTGAACCACTTCTCTCACTGACAAAGTCTTATGCACTGACTGCGTCAGAATAGAAATAGGAGTCATCCTGGATCACATCAGAATCTAACAATGTACAGTTGGCCATACATATCCACAGATTCAACCAACACGGATCAAAGATATTTGAAAAAAATCCAGAAAGCTCCACAAAGAAAAATCTAAACTTGCCACATGCTACCAACAATCTATATAGCATTCCCATGTTATTAGGTATTACAAGTAATCTAGAGATGATTTAAAGTATATAAGAGGACATGCGTAGGTTATACACAAATTCTATGCCATTTTATATAAGGGACTCGAGCAGCCACAGATTTTGGTATCCACAGGGGTCCTGAAACCAATCCCCCACAAATACAGAGGGACAGTGGTATATATGGTATCACGCATACAAAACTTATAAAGGAGATTATGCACAAAAATGCACAGAAAAGAGGGAAATAAAAATTCAAAGTTTTAGAAAGAAATATCCTCTCTGTATCCCCGAACCTAATCTACTGCAAAGGTAATTCAAAACTTTATGTGCACAATAGAATAGCATCTCCCAAGGTGTAGTTCAAGAAACATCAGTTCTATGGGATGTTAACAGATATTAGGGGAGAAATGAGAAATATCGAAATAAAAAAAATAAATAAAGTAAGGCTTTTCAGGGCCTTAAATTTGCAAATGTGAATTGTGACATCTCAGACCTATTAAAACATCAAAATTATCTCAAAGGGCTACTAAAAATAACAAATTCCTGGATTTCACCCTGAAGATCCTGATTTACTAGGTCCAGGAGAGGTTCAGGAATTTGTCCTTTGAACAAGTGTCTCAGGTGATACTGAAGCTGCCAGCCAAGGAACCATTTAGGAGAACCACTCTAATTTGACCATGGACATGTGATGATAGCAGTTTTCTAAGGTACATATTGTCAGAAATAATATGGTAGATTCAGTACTACTTTTGGCTATCTAGAAAATGAAAGCACCACAGAGGCCTTTTTTTTTTAACAAAAAATTACTCTGAATGGACAGGAATCTGGAGTTTAGCTTTATTTTTACCCCAAATCTCATCTAAGAAAAACATAACCATCTTTTTCAAATAAGATGCCTAAACATCCCACATGTGTCTGTTTCTCTAATTCCACGTTAAAAATGTATTTTCGTAGAACAATTACCCCGTGGATAAAGGAAGATGGGTCAGATTGATGGCAAAGTTTTAAGAGAACAAGTTTTGAGTAAGTGAGGTGCTAAGTTTGTGATCAATTTTCTCCAAGAGTAAATAACTACAGGTCCACCCTAGTCCCCCTCACATTTATTTGTCATGAAAGTCACTGGAAAAAAAATCAAATTATTACTATTTGTCTCCTTTTACTTAAAAATGTACTCTAACATCTCACCCTGACAGAGACTGTTATTTGGGGAAACAAACATTAGGACTGGAAGCACTTATGAATACAAACTCAAGCAAAGAACAACTGAAATTTGACAACACATAAAAATGTCACACTACTTTCACAACAAAACTTCTTTGCTCTTCCAAAAACAATATATAGCTCCAAAGACACACGCATATGTCCACTTACAAATGCAGCACACACAATCATTCTGGGAACAGCCAGCTACTATACACTGTGCATCAACTGAATAGTGCAATTCATCTCAATTATTATAGCACAAATAATACTTGCCCTCCCTTTCTCATTAATATGCTCTCAAGGGATGGCTTTCTAAAAAGAAAAATATAAATTCATAAGAATTTCAGAATTCCAAGATAAAATAGCAACAGTCATATACATAGCTGCAATAAAAGACATTTTTATAAAAAGACTAAACATATGGATTTTTCTTAGTAAAATATAAGCAAGCTTCTTTTTCATTTAAAGGTACCTGCAAAATGTGACTTCCCAAATGTGCTTCAAATACTTCAATGGCCAGTGCACTGGGGCTTCTCCTTCGCTGTGCACCTATAACTTAAAAGAAAAAGAAAAGAAAAGAAAGAAAGAAAAAAAAATTAAGTTGGGGCTCTGATTTACGTCTTCAGCTTCATTTCTCTGTAACTGTATCACTAGACAGCTACTATATCAAAGAGATCTGAGAGAAACACAACCCAGTGTTAACTTTGGTTCTGAGTTGCTTGAGCAAAATCAGAGCCTAGGGTGAATTTCCATCTCAGAATATCAACTTCTACAAACATTAAAAACCATATCCAGACTTAAAACAATTTTCTTTTCCTTTTTGAACTATTTTTCCTACACTGGAGCAAAAAAACAAAACAAATATGAATGTTCACGCTCTTTTAAAATAAACTGGTAAACTGTTTTTCTTAAAATTTAGCTATTGTTATTTTTAAAGCATATACATATTGCCTTTTCCTCCCAGAGAAACCTGAATGTTTAATATCCTCTAGGCTAGAAAAAAGCAAACAGAACTTTTTAAATGTTCTAATGCAATAACTTTATCATAATTTAATAAGCACAACATGTCGGCTAAGAGATTCTCATTAATGACTGTTTGCACTAGTGTTAAGTGTCTCAGGATGGCTGGATTTCATATTTACTGAATATTCACATGTAACTATTCCTACAGGGCCTACAGGGAGCCCAGGTGGATGCTTGCCCAGCATGTGTCTTGCAGGTCAGTGACTGTTTTATTATCTGTATACTTCTGTTCTCCTACTAACTTATAGTTTGTCTTTCTCTTCCTGGCATACCCTACATGAGCTGTCTGCAGGCACATACACCCGAAGGGCCTCCCAACCCCTAACAAAAGAGCTTAATGCATGATATTTGGGGATCCAAAATTGAGGGCCTTCTCCTTACAATTTTTTTTTTTTGGAATGGGATCACAATTTGCTTTTGAATCTGTTCTGGCTCTTTTCCCTGTTTCAAAAAGTTCTCAAACCTAAAAATCAATTTGCTTTCCAGTAATTTATGAACAAAAATATTCAGAACCTTTCCATATTTCCAACAAGTACATTCCTTATGTCTTCCTGCTTTTCTTAAAAATTGTATGACAAACCTCTATTCTCTCAAACCTAGACACTATAAATTGAAAATAAAATCAAATCCCCTACTTTCTTACTTCTCAAAACACTTTCAGATAGTTGACAAGAAAATTCCAGCAAAATGCTGCTGGGATAATTCTGCTTCGTTTCAGTTACTAAGTCAGTCAGTTGGATCCATAGCTTAGTAGGGATTATAGTATAAATGTACTTATGATTATCGTGCTGTGCAAAATAGGCAGTTTACCCCTGCAATTGCAAGCTGATGTCTGCCAGGTCTGAAAGGCACTTTGGAAATAGCATGAGTGGTAAGTATCATTATCACTAGCAAGAAGAAATAAAAGGGGCATTATTTTCAATGGGAAACTTTATAAAATATAATTGAAGAGTGATTATTGTCAAAGAATATTCCAGTTGGAAGGGGTCTTAAAGATCTCAATTCCAAATTCTTCATTTGCTTCAGAAGCAAAACACACAACTAATATTCTTAAAATAGAAAAATCAGCTTTCTATCCTAAGACTAATCATTACTGTAAGCATAGACATATGATTTTTAAATTTTTAATCTAAGATGTACTCAAGACAGTACTACGGGGTGTGTGGCATTTCTGATTAATTTCCTATTCTAACATGCACATTACTCCCTTCAAAACTCCTTTGGCATTTTTGATAATGCAGCTGTCTTGCTGAATACTGTTTTCAGTTTCTAGAGTGTTAATTGCACATTATGGTAGCTTGGTGTGAATGATCCCACATGAATAAAATCTGCAGTTCTTTTTTTTTTTTTTTTTGTTAAGATTGTTGTGGGGAGGGGAGCTTTGGGGAGGCAGAAGGGGGGTGTTGAAAAACTTCAAAAGTGTCCACTCTGTTTTTGAGGCAGTAATTAGGATCCAGAAAGCTCCTTATTAATAGTTCATAATTTGGGGGCATTTCAGGACTTCCAATTATGAAGTTCAAAATAAACCATTGTACCTCACAGAAGAAATGGGTTGATCTTAGAGAACACAGGCTATTCTCCAAAGAACTGGATTAAGAGTGGGGCAAGAGAGCAACAGCCACCAACCTACAGAGGACCCTAAAACATCACAGGAAAGGAAAGGAGCATGTTTATTTACTAGAAGGCCCAAGAAGCATGCTCCAGTAACAACTGCCCTCTAGAAGCATGGAAACAGGTGACTACAGTGGGGTCCTGCAGGGGTTATTTAAGCCTGTCCATTGATGGCCTTTCTTTTCCTGCCTTTCCTCAACTTAGGGCTCAGCTGTTCTCTAAGTAAATGTTGCAAATGCATAAATAATTAGGAATTTTATTTTAAAAGCTCCTTAGTCAGCCTGGGGATCCCACATGCCTTCATCAGCTCTTCTATCCATGAGTCCTTCCTGCATAGTTATTTTTCTTTGTTCTTCAGACCCTCTAGAAATCTAAGTGTGCATCCTAGTACATGCTAGCATAACATACAAGCATCTTGTAAGTGGTTTCATGCTTTTCTCTTCAATGGCATTTTTATGGCACTGGAACTTCTCTTGATTTATATGTTTTGCACTTATGCAGGTGATATGGGGCTGTAATGACAGTTCCTAATTTTACAACCAACATAAATATGTTAAACAGGAGTCCATTATGCCCCCAGTAGAAGCCCAGCTCTGACTGTAGCATTATTGGTAACTGAATAGATGTTAAATAATGTACTTTTTATCTTGTACTTTTCATCCTACCACATTTGGTATTTTGAGTATTTAGACAATAATCTGATAACTCAGGAATGATGCAAACAGTTACTTTGTTCCTCTATGTTAATGTCACTGTGTTTACGGATTATCATTCATGCTTAAAGAAAAACTAAAGAGGCATTTCCTCAGTGAGGCTCATCATTCTCAGAAAAGTAATACATTGCTTATGAAGCTCTCTCAGATTGTTTTATTTTGGAAGTTGACCGTTTCTAAAACCAGTTGGTAGCCCACACACACTGCATACTTCTTATTGCTGAATAGGTCAATGCTTTATCTGATCTACAGACACTTCATCCATTTGTCTGTTCAATTAAAAGACACTGCGTTTGAAATTTAAAGAACACTAAATTAACTAAAAAATGCACAGCACATTGCTAAATAAATGGAACACATAATCCCATTATCTGTGAGGATTATATCTCTTAAGTCACTGACAGTGAGATGTGAGAGTTGTATAAACTGAACAGGTTATATAAACTGTTAAAAGAAAAAAAAAATCAAGCTATAGTAATATAGTAATTCAAATTCGATTCAGCATTTACTGAGTAACTATTTGACACTGAAAACTGCTAGCTACTGTAGAGTAACTAGTGTTATAAGACTTAATAAACGTTCCACAAGAAAATTTTAAGCAATTCAAAACAAACCTAGGCCCAGCATATAATTATCAAGACCACAATATGATCATCTCATGTTTTTCAAGGGTTAGAAATAAAACACCTAGACTTTTAAGAGACTTTAAATGGAAGAGATATATAGGGAGAACGATTTTTAAAAATCAACTAAAGAAATTCTGTTTGTCTCAGAATTCTAAAATGATATGATGAATCATTAGGATTGTGCCTTTGGCCTTTCTCTCATTAAAAAATGGAAGACAGAAGGAAGCCCCAATCTGAAATATGTATCTGAAAAATTAGTTTTGTCCCTCAACAACGTCAGCAAAAATACTCTAATCTAGACTCTTCCACATAACCTTGTGAGGTAGTCTTTGAGAATTAATTAAGTGCAGTAAAAGACAATTCCTCTTTGGGGAAATGTACCACACACTCCCAGTCATATTCCTAACCAGTGCCTGTCACCTTCGGGGATGCACAAACACCAGGAAGGCTGAGGATTATCGCTCAGTGGGAGTTTGACCTATTCAGCCAAAAGGTCAGCTTGCCACATAAGAACCCATTACAAAACAGAAACAGGACAGCTCAGTGGACACACATAATGAAAGAGGGAAAAGTCACGAGCCCTTCTTGCCTTGTGTCCTGCATTGCCCTTTTCCTCCTAGCCCTCCCCACCCCCATTTCCAGAGAAGTTGGCACTGCCCCAGCTCCTCACGAGCACAGCTCACAGTGGGAAGGTAAACCACAGGCAGGGAGAGAGAAAGGGGCTCATTATTTCAGGGATCACTTGAAAAAGATATTCAAAGGTAGAGTATGACATCGTGAGGCAGGATTTCCAAGAGATTGTTTTATTTGGAAAAAGTTGTCATTAACAGATAGGGAAGACCATTTTAGAGCTACTTTCTCATCCAGCTCTCCCTCCATGGGGAGCGGAATGGCAGGATGGGTGAATGTAGCCTTAACATTCTGCAGGTGCTATTTCAAGAGTAAAATCATCCACCGAGTAAAAAGGCAAGCTTTATGGGTACCCTCTGAATCTGTCATCTAAGGGGCAAGGCTCTGTTCCCACACTGAGCTTGGGGGAAGAGAGGACTGAAGGGCATGCTTAATGAAATCCCGACATCACTCCCTGGGCTTTAGCACTTGGGCTAAGCAAAGTCAGGGTCTGGGAAAGAAAGGAGTACAGAATGCTTAATGAGTCTTTCCATGGCTACCAAAGAGAAGAAAAGGGATTTCCTTTGAAGAATGTCAATTAGCCTCCCTCACTGTAGGGCAAATGAAGCCAGGGAGGGTTTTCCCAGGAGCCTTAGAAGTTTATGAGGTACGCAGTTGTGTGTGCGTGTGTGTTTCCCTTTATCTAAAATAAACATTTATATGCCTTCATTGACTATGGGACCAATTCTTCATTCTGACACTCATTCTCACAGCTCTGCCTACTGCCCAGATTCACAATTTGTACCCTTTCAACACTAAATTCCTCATTGTTTGTGCATGCCCTAAACATTGGGGGAATTTCAGGTTGGGATGGAGATGATACACTCAAATAACCAGTGTTAGGTACCAGCTTAACCCATACAGCGGCACTAAAACAGAAACTCTATTGTCAAAAGCAGGATATGTGGAGTTT